GCGGTACATCGGAGTGTATTCTTAAAAATATATTTATCTGAAGTTCAAAACTAAGATTTTTCTTGAAAATCTAAAATTGTTATTTAAACCCCTTTAAAAGTTGAGGGGGGAGGGGGGATGGAGGAGAAGGGACTATAAATTTATCAAATTGGAAATTCAATTAAGAATTTATTCCTTATGTTTTTAAACAAAAAAAATATTTTTTAATTAATTTTTAGATATTAAAATTACGTAAAGAATATGGAATATTATTAAATGCAGATGGGCCTTTTGGAAATGTTTTAAAATTTAAACCTCCACTTTGTTTTAATTCTGATAATTTAGAAAACGTTATTAAAGCATTAGATGAATGTTTAAATGAATTAATTAAAGAAGAAGAAGAATAAAAATATAATTTTTTAATTTTATTTATTTAAAATATACATATTTTTTATAGTTTGTATTATGTTTATAATATTTAAAAATTGGAATGACTAGTTTTGATTAATTATTCTGAATTAATTAATTTTTAGAAATTTTATGTTTGTAAATCAAACAGAAAAAAAGAAACTTAATTCATTTTATATTATTTTATTTAAATAAAAATGAATAATAAAATATAAATTTAAAACAAAGAATAATGCTTCTTATTTTGATAAAATATGTAAGTCTAAATAAAAATTAGCTTTAAATCCCATTTAAATTTTATTCTGTTTAATTATTTTTTTAAAATAATTTGAAAGAAAAATCATCAAATAATAAAATAAATTTAAATTGTTTAGTTTATTTAATTTATTTTTTTCTGACTTCAAAATGCTCTGCGCTTTTTAAAAAAAATTATGTAGGATTAAAAAAGGATGGTTATTTTACAATAATAATTCTCTCTTTGCGAGATATTTATGTGCAAATAATTTTGCAAACAAAATAAAAAATAAAAATCAATTAAAAATGAAAATATTTTCAAATAAATATCCTCTAAATAAAATAGAAATTAATTTTTATTTTTTTATTTGGATTTTACATTCTTTAATAGCCTTTTTAATTTCTATATTTGTTTCTTCAAACCCTAAGAAAATCGGGAATTGGTTAAATCATTGGCTAGAACCTAGCAAGTTTGTTGTGTTTTTTTACATTCTTTAATTCACAATAATTACTCTCTTATTTTTTTCTTCTCACATTTTGACAATTTATTTACTCCAAGATGATCCTTTCCAAACCACCAAAAGGGGGCACGGCTTCACAAACTGGGGCAAAAAAGGTGGCATTGAAGAAAAGGGGAAAAAGGAAGCGGAAAAGTCATTAAGTGGGCAAATGCCCCCTAAAGGTGGTAAAGGGGTAATTCTGACTTACACCCATCATTTTATCCAACTAAGATATTCTCTATGTTCAATCCAAAATTTATTTTCGTCCAGCTACCTTTAAATAATTAAAAAAAAGTCCGGAATACTCCAAATAATGTTTGAGGAATAAAATTTTGGAAAAGCTTATTTTCAAAACTTATTTTTAAAAAATTATTTAAATAAATTTTTTATTTAATGAGAAATTGAGGGGAATTATTTATTTATTTAAAAAAATATTAAAATTAAAATATTTAAATAGTTATATTTCTAATTATTTTATTGATAATTCTGATGTTGAATGGAAATTATTTAAAATTGCTTTTAAGTTAATTTTGACTACTTATGCTTTAAATTCAAGTAATTATTAAATATATTTAAAATTAAAAATATTTTTTAATTTTTTAAAAAAAGTTTTGTTAATTATTTTTAAAAGAATTAAATTTCTAAATAAAGAAATAAAAACATTATTTATTTTAATACCTTTTTGGATTGTTTTACATGTTAATTGGACTAGGTAAGGATTATTTTAATTGAAAAAGAAAATTAAAGAAAATATATAACGAAAATTAAATAATCAACAAAGTACTCGATTGGGGTTTTGGAGATTCTTCGAGTCTTTTTGCCGATAAAATTTGATTAGGCCTCCCGGCCGGCCCTAATTAAAATATGTTTGTATTAGAGATCGGAATTTTGAAAAAACCGGGACCGGGAAACGGGAAACGGGTTCTGAAGGTCGACCGGGAGGGACCCGGACCGGGAAAACCGGGAATTCCCGTTCCCGGTTTCATCCCGGTCAAAAATGACCGGGACCCGGACCGGGAAACCGGGAAATTTAAAAAAAATTTTAAATTCATTTAAAAATTTGAAAAAGTTATGGGCGTAGTTATGTATTGAAAAATCAGATTTATAAATAGAAGAATTTAATAAATCAGTAAAATAAAGCAATAAAACAAATGTAAATTACAATAAATTAAAACATAAAGCGGATTACGTAGGGCTAAAGGGATTTGAGAGGCTAGAGGAGTATTGTGGGATATTGGGAGATTTAAGAGTTTAAGATCAATCCCGATAGGCTCCTCAAATTTTTTTATATCGCCTATATGTATTCCTCATCTGATTCCCTTTAATCCCTCCTAATCCACTTTGATGCTGATTTAATTTTTATTTAATTTTTATTTAATCCCTCCAAATCCACTCTGATCTTCTCTGTGCAATAGTGATATCAGGGATTAAAAGAGATGTCGAGAGATTCAAGTATTTGTTGGGTAGCATTAAGAGAGATTGTGGAGAAAGACCTCCAACCACCTATATCACCTGATATCTACCTATTCAAATCCCTTCAATTGGAAGGCAATGATATCAGATGATTAAGGCAGATCTAATGGATTTATTTGTTAGAGGGATAAAGATGGCTTAATCACCATTTCCCTTGATAAAATCGCACTATACACAACTTCCCTCAACTTTTCCTACAATAATACCTTCAAATTTCTCCATTCCAAATTCTTCCGCGAAAATTTTGAGAATTTTGGAAGGCCAAACAGCCAAATTTCTTCCGTTTTCAGCGCCGCAGGCGAAAATTTTGAGAATTTTTGTAAAATCTACAATATTTTTAAGTCAAAAATCAAAACGCCAAGCAAAAATATTTAAAATTACCGCTAGAATTTTTCCCGGTTTCCCGGTCCAAAAAAAGCCGGGATCGGGAACGGGAAACGGGAAATGAAAATTAACCGGCCGGGACCCGGACCGGGAAAACCGGGAATTCCCGATCCCGGTTTCATCCCGGCATCTCCAAAAAAGCCGGGAAAAAGGACCGGGAAACCGGGAAACGGGACCGGGTCCCGATCCCGTTCCGATCTCTAGTTTGTATACATAAGAGAGGGATTGTTGAAGATTGTAAAGAATACAAAAAATGGGTTAGAAATAGAGACTGGACCGAGACGAGATCTCGATTCTCGTACGACTCTGTCAGTCGATTCCTAGTTAGGAAAATCAAAATAAAGGAAAAATACATAAGAGTAGAAAACTAAATACTAGTGATCGGACTGTACTATGGCTATATCTTTCGGTATTCATCGGTATTCCTTATCGGTAGTATTCCACGAAATTGCCAATCACAACTAAATACAAATAAATAATCAAGTAATAACAATTAGGAATTATTCTATTGGAATTTCGAGTTTCTTTCAATCCATGTTCAGCTGCTTCAGCTAATCTCTGATAATATTAGAGGAGAATTTTAGCAAAAAAAGAAAAAAAATCTTTTAAATATTTTAATTTCTTTTTTAGTTTAAAATGTATTTCTGTAATATCAACATTTTCTTTAATTATAATTTTAATTTCTTTATTAACCAAAAACCAATTATTTGGATGGATATTTAATTTAATATTTATTTTAAAATTTATTAATTTTATTTCCTTTTCTAATAAAGAACCTTCAAAATATTATTTAGAATTTAATTTGTATTTATATTCTTCTATTAAAGTATAAATTATTATTTTTTAAAAGAGGGAAGAAGACTTAAAAATAATTTAAAAAAATAAATTACTCAAAGCAAAATTTGCCTGAAATTTTTAGATTTTTGTGAAAAATTATTTTAATATCAACAAATTCCGCTAAATAAATAATTTATTTATAATTTTCTAGTTAATTAATTTATCAATTTATTTGAGTAAATACAAAAAGAATTTTGATTTAAATTTATTCTGTGATATATTACTTTATTTATTTTATCCTCCTTATTCAATCAGTTTAATTGTTTTGTTTGAGGTATTTAAACATTTAAAGGGGAAGTAAGGAAAGAAGTTTTGGATATCCGAAAAGTTAGAGGGGGGGGGGGGGGGTAAACGAAGTTTTTTGATTAATATCGGGCAGACTTCACAGCAGGGATTCTTGAAAAATTTATTGGGAAAAGGAGTCGGATTGAAATTAAATTTTGGATATAGAAAATTTTTTTGATAATTCTCGTCTATTATTTGGATAGACTGAATTTTTAAAAACGTTTCTAAATCAACAAAAAATATTTTCTTTTAATTTTAAAGGATTTTCAAAAACAATTTAATAATTATTTATTTAATTCTGAATTATTTACTACAAATTATTTTCAAATTTTATTTAAAACAATTTTAAAACTTTTTTGTTGCTTTTGTTTATTAGAATTATTATTACATTTATGTAGAGTTAACGCTTTATTTAATTCTCCTTTTGTTATGCTACAAAATTTTAATAATTATGAATGTAATTTTAAATAATAATTAATTAAAATAAAATAAAAATTTGGAGCTTATTATCCTCTTTAATTAAAATTTTTTGGTTCATTTAAAAATGAATATAAAAATATTTTTAATTTTAAACCTACATACATATTTCTTGGGTGAAAATCTGATTAAGTTTGTCTTTAATTGATATTCGAGTGATTAAATTTTTGTTTAATTACTCGAAAGAACATAAACAAAAACATTCTTAATACCGATCTTTACAAAATTTCATTCTCGTAAACCTCTTCATTCCTCAAAATCCATATTTTTAAAGAAAGCTTCCTTAAAATTTAAAAAATAATGCATAAATATCAATTTCATTTAATTTAAGTAGTTTCAATAGCCTATGTAGCTGGCCAATTATTTCATCTAAAATATTATTTAATTTTTGGTATTCCAAGTATTTTTGCTAAAATTGATGGAATGCAGCCAAATCCTTCACCAATTTGTATTTCACATGTTGCTAAATATTCTCAAATGTGGAGATATTTTGATAGAGGACTTTATTTATTTCTTAAAAATCAGGTAATAAATAAATTATGTGTGAAAGTTGGTGGAAGAATTTTGGTAGGGGGAAAGTAAAAAAGTATCAGGATTTTCTCTAAATAATTGCTTTAGTGAGGTAATGGATACGGATATGGATATAGATAAGTTCAAAATGCCTGCGGATATCCGTCTGTATCCGCCATAGATATCGGGATACGGATACCAACATCCATGTCCATTACCAAGTCTGCTTTAGTGTATTCTTTCTGAAGGGCCATAATGTTTGTAACTTTAATTGAAATTTTTTGTTCCAAGGTGGGATATGTTAGTAACTTAAACGGGCACTCTCATTAGATTTTGCTTTAATTAGGAGAGATCCCTCAATTTTTTAAATTTAAAAATTTTATTTTACCTAATTTATTTTCAGCTTTATATTCAATTAATAAATTACCAATTTAATTATAAATATCAAAAATTAAATTTTTATTTAAATTTTCCAATATTCCGTAAAATACTGGCTACTTTATCTGTTTTCATTTTTGTTCTTATTTGGCATGGATTTAATTCTAATTTTTGTTGGTGGGTTTCTCTAAGTGCTTTTGGACTTTTTATTGAACGCTTGGCAAATTCTAATATATTTTTATTTAACAAATTTATTCAAAAAAATATTTTATTAAAAATGTCATTTGCAGCAAAGATTCGATTAAAGGCTATTTTTATGTTGACAACTTTAATTCCTGGTTAATTATTAATTTTTTTAAGAAAAAGAGGAATCTGTTTTTTGTTTATTCTTTTAGGGTTCGGTATTTTGAGGAAATAATTTCTATGGGTAGATAAAGGTGGTTATAAAAATTTTTTCTTGTACTCGTAAAAAAGCCCCGTTGCTTCGCAGAGCCTAACTGATGGCTAGTGGAAATTACTTGTTCCATGTTTAAGATTTATTTTAAAAAGAGTTAAGGAAAATGTTGGAAGATAGATCATCCCCAAAGATAATAAAAATTCATTGAAAAATCATTAATTTTAATAAAATTTTAGGAATATTTGGAATTTTCTTTTTTCTTGGACACGGATTAATTGGAAATTATATTTTCTTTAAAGTACTTATAGAAGGATTTAAACAAATTTTTACTTTACAAATTTATATTGGAAATCCTGGATGGGTAATGGGACATTTACTTATTTTGGGTTATTTCTTTAATAATGTTTCACTTTTTATTGAAGAAAAAAGAAAAGAAAAATAATTTTTAATTTTTTAAAGATTTATCTCATATATTTCATACAAATAAACTAGGGTAGCTCCCCGAGCCTTCGGGGTCGGAAGTGCCAAGGATCGGGGTTTGCCGGGAGGGCATGCCGGGGGGGGGGGGGGGGGGGGGGGATGTCCTTCGGGGTTCGAAAATCGTCGGGGTACGGGCAGCTACCCTAATATAAACAAATTCTTACATAAGTCAATAATGTATTTAGCAATTAAATAATATCACAGGGTTTAAATAAAATAATTATTTAATACAGCAAGTGAAAAGAAATAGGTACTTATATAATGCTTGGAAAGATATTTAAGCAATTAAAGTTTTGTGATAATAAATATTTATAGAATCTTAAAATTGAGCTATACAAGCGAAGGAATAAAGAAAAGTTTAGATATAATAAATATTGCTTTTTAAAAAGAAGGTAATTTCACAATAAAAACAAAAAATATTTTTCAAATTTTCTTCCCCTTTTTTTCTTTTTTTAATTCCCATTCAGTCAATATATTTTCAAATAAATTTCCCCATTCCCATTTTTGTGATTCAGAATTAGGACTACAAGGATTCATAAAAACTTCGCCTGTAGAAGAATCACAATCCAAACATAAAGAAGTTAATACATGAATTAATTGTTTAGTTTTTGGTTGGTATTTAAAATGCTAAAAAGAATTTCTAGAGTTTTTTGAAATTTTCAAAAAATTTTTGCCTGATTTCCTTTCATTCCATGACAAGCAAATAATGTAATGGATGCTTTTGGTTGATTTTGGGCAACATCAAAACACAAATTTCTTCCTTTAGGTCGAATATCTTCCCAAAAAGAGAAACGAAAATCCTTAAATTTAAAAAAAATTTTATTTAAGAATCATCAACTAAAAAATTAATTTTAACTAAAAAATGTATTTTTAATGAGAAAGTATATTAGAGTTCAAATCGGGACGGGAACCGGGTCTGGATTTACGGGATCCGGTAGTCCAGATCCGAATATTTTGATAAAAATCGGGATTTTGATCTCGAAGATCCGGTCTGGAAACCCTGATCCGGTCCAGGCCCTGATAAAAAAAATTATAAATCCGAAACGAGATCCGGTATTTTCCAAATTTCGAACTCTAAAATATATTGTGGAAAATTCCTTTTAATTTTTTACACTTCTTATGATTTTTATTTTTTTTAATAAAATTTAAAAAATTAATTTTTTAACCTGTTCTCCTCTAACAGAACTGTCTTCACTTTTACATTTTTCCAACTTCAATTTAGACCCAGACCCTTCATATCCAGTATCCACACATTTTTTGGCTGCTAAATTCTTTAATTCTCCTTTAAAAATTATTTTAATTTATTTAAAAAATTATTTAAAAAACCGTTAGCCCCATCTGGGGGTTCTATAGCTGGATAAAAATATTCTTGATCAAAAGCAATTTCCTTCATAAACCAATCAAAAGATTTACATTTAAGTCTTTCTCTAACTGCTTTTTGTTTAGTTAAATCACCTAAATTTTTTTATTAATTATTAATTTAAAAAATATTTTTTTATTTAAATTCGAGAGCAGGCCAACATACCGTAAAGCCATAACTTCGTTCAGAATAGTTGAATCCAGGACGCCTTGGTATTTCGATTCAGCTTGTCGAGGCGCATCGAACGATCCCAGGGCGTCACAGATTCGACAATTCTGAACGAAGTTATAGCTCTGCGGTAAGTTGAAGTTGAGGTGTACCCTTTAAATTCAATTTCAGAAAATTTTTTTTTAATTTCCAAATTAAAAACATTAATTCAGAATTCATAAAAACCTTCATCTGCCGTTTCCAATGCCGGTCTTCTCTTATATAAATGTTTTTTATATTCATCCATCCAAACTTCTGCTACACGACGATAATTTCTTGAAATAAAATCTCCAACACCTGGATTACTTTAAATGGAGAATTTTTAAATTTTCAAATTTTTCAAAAAAAACTAACGGAAAAGGAATATATTTGCATCTATAAATATGTCCAACACGAGAACAGGGAGCATCTACTAATTGTCCATGACATTGCCAAATTTTAAAACTTAATTCGTATTGTTCTCCTCCCCAAATATCCAAACCTTCATCATAACCTCCCAATTCCCAAAACCATTTTGTACTTATTGCAAAATAACCACCAGCCATTACTGGACTTTTAAATGGTTTTGTTGGCGATTTTAAATCATCTTCAGTTAATGGTAGACGTTTATAATTAAATTCCCAATCGAATGAACCTTAAAAATGAATTAAAAAAGGGATTAAAATAACGATCTAGTTAGTTAAAAATATAAAGGAATAAAAAATATTTAAAAACTAAGGGGAAACTAATAAAAATTGGAAAGACCACGAAAACACTACTTAAAAGTTAAAAAGAAAAATTATCTAATTTGCTCACATTCTCACTGATTCCCTAAAAACTCTTTAATTTATTCGAAAATAAATTAAAACAAAAAGATAATCGTAGGTTTATAATATGAGAAATTATGGCCCTATGTGATAGGAGTGCCATGGTCATATTTTTCTTTATTTACATGAAATGGTTATTTTTCCTTTATGAAAGACAATACTTTTTTAATATTTTTCACTAATTTGTGTAATAATAATAATTTAACCCTAACAGAGAGACTAACATAAATATGTATTTAATTTATCAGAAAATCCCTACATATTTTAATTTATTTAAAAAAAACCTCTCGCCCCTTCATCCTGTGCTCTATATTCATAAGTATCACAATCAATTACATCCACAAAAGGGCAAACAACAGTTCTATAATTTAAAGCAATAGGTTCAATTAATGGAGGTAACCAATTATAATTAGCTTCAGAATGAGCATCCAAAAAAATAATAATATCAGCATTAGCAGCACGAGCACCAATAGCACGGGCACGAATTAAGCCTTCTCTTTTACTAAAAAATAAAAAAAAATAATTGTAAAAAACGTCAATGAAGGTAGAAGAGGGGAATCACCCAAGAATATCGTCACCCAAAATATCGCCCTAAATATACCTTATCGTCCCTAATTTCGATATTTTGGGTAAACGTCATTTAGGGTGTCGATATTCTGGACTGGAGTCCAGAAGGTTTAATTTACAAATTCGAATTTAACTCCAATTAATACATAATTTTCTCTTCAGCCTATCAGAAATGTAAACAGGGAAAGGAAGACTTAAATGCACTTACATGTTAGAAACGGAAATTAGGTTTTCAGTCAAAAACCAATGTTTTGTTTATTTGAAGAATTAAAAAATCCTCACAAAAAGTTTATGGAATTTTTTATTAGGATAATTCCCACTATAAAAAGTAAAGAAATAACCTTGTTCTAACAACTTTCACAATATTATCCAAACTTTTAGCTTTCCAATGTTGCTCAAAAGGTTCTTTCAATTCCGGTTTTGTGCTAGAATCATCCACAAAAATAATTTCTTTAAGAACATCAGAAGGTGATCTATTAATTATTGAATATCCACTCCTCAATAATGTTGAATAATGCTAAGGAAAAATTTTTCTTGTAGAATTAAAAAATAAAAAGGCTAACTTCATCATGAAAAGGCAAAATAACCGAAACAGAAGGGAGTCTTTCAATATAAGTTTTTGTTTTACATCCAGGATGTCTAATATCTTTAACACTTCTATCTAAGGCAATATGGTCACTGACATAGGCATTATATCCATTTGCACGATATAGAGTATCCTTGAATCGAGAAAATAAAAATATTACTAAAAATTAAAGTTGTTGACGACCGGTTATTACATAACAGGTACCCACGGTTTTCAGTTAATCTAATTTTTAGAAACCCAGTTTTCGGTCTTAAGTTTTGGGCAAATACCGGTTTATTTTTGAGGGAATTTAAATAAAAGCACTCATTTTCACAGAATTCCGGCTTTTAAAATTTTCTAAAAACGGTTAATTTTTGGAAAAAAATTTCGAAAATTGCGGCTTTAAAACGCCAACAACCCTTCTAAAAATCCTAAATTGAAAGAATACTATTTGAATGAAAAAAAATAGAATTAAATAAATACCAAAATTTTTTCCAAAGTCTGATTATTTTCTTTCTTAACAACAAATCCTTTGCCAACTTCACCATTTCCTTCCCTTTTCTGCTCCTTTTCATAAAACCCTTTATCTAGCCAATCCTTCTTTGGAAGAGATCTATAAGACAAAAAAGGATCAACACCATCAGCTAAATTTAAAAAAATATTTATTTCAAAAATTCAAAATAAACCTGCAAATTTTTGAGAATTTTCTCTAATCTTAACACGTTCAACAGTAACTGTTTTGTAGAAATATATTAGAAAAACAATAAATACAGCATAAATAAAAGTATATAATAAACGTCTGGGCAAGTAACGAAAAATTAAACGAAGTTTTCTTTTATGTTTCATTGAAATCTAAAATAATTTTTTTTTTAATTTTTTGAAATTTTATGGGGAAATTTTAAAAAGAAATTAGAAGTAGAAATTGTTTAAGCTCAAATCTTCAAATTAGAGACCAACGCGGGACATGATCCCGCGCGAAATTTTGCGGGTTACCGTTCCCGCAATCCCGCTTTTTTCGATTTGCGGGAGAGCAGGATTTCGCGGGATTAATCCCGCGGGATCCGACAAAAGCGATTTAGCCGGTCTCTACTTCATTTGCGAATTAGCAATGAATTGATAACAATCGATTGCTTACAAGCAATGACAACAAAAGGAAAATTTTATTTGAACTTTTTATCGTTAGCCACGTTTTAATTTGTGATAGTAAAAGCAAAAGAATATAAAAATAAACTTATTGAGGTTTAAAACCTTCTAAAAACATTTCCCTATTTAAAAATTCAAAAACTTTATCAATTTATATGTTTATCAAAAGTTAAAAATTAATTTAAAAATTAGACAAAAATAATAATAATTTAAAAACCCTGAAATGTAACAATTTTTAATTAAAGAAAGGCGCTTATGGTGGAAATTGAAATAAAATACAAAAATTATTTAAGAAAATTATAAATAAAAAATTAGTAAAATTTAGAAAAATATATGGATTTTAGGAAACAAAAATTTTTTTAAATATTTTAATTTGATATACATTATTCGAAAAAGAAAATACTTATAGTTAATAGATTAAGTGGTGTTAAAACTACATAATCGTTCAAAATTAAAAAAAATATTTTTAGATTTTTTAAAACCCCCAGAAAAGTTAGAGAATTAAAAAATTAGGTAAAGTGGTAAATAATCCAACATAAAAAGAGAATTATTAGGAAAGTTTAAATGGCAGTTAAAATAAAAATTATTAGATATCTTTTAAATAAACTTCAAACCATCAAGCATTGAAACGAGTTTTACTTAAAACACTATCTCCATATGGAACGCGTGTGTTGAGCATAGCAAAATCAATCATACGTTCTCCAGTAATACGAGGAATGTATTGGGGAGCAGTTCTAAAGATTGGGAATTTAAAAAAAATATTAGAGAAATTGACCGTTTCATCTCCACATAATTATTGCTTCCACGCTTTGCAAGCTCTTTTGCCTGTAAAACAGGAGAAGGAAGAGCAGGCGGCATATTAACAATTTGCCACATGTTGCAAAGTCCGATGATGAATGCTTGCAATTCGTCATTGTTAGCCTTGATCTCGTTAATTGGGATCATGTATTGAGGAATCTTTGATGTGCCCTAAAATTGATTTTGTAACAAATAAATATTTATAATAAGTTTAACCTTAAGTGGATGATGCGCTTGCAAAAAGAATTCATGAAGATCCACACGGACGAACTTTTTGTCAATGACTGAACCCGGTTTAGGATTGCGATTTGGACCAGTGTTTAAGAAAAAGCGCTTTGTATGACGCTTATCAACAATAACGAAGACAAATTTTGGAACCCATCCTTGGTTAATGCTTCTAAACGTTTCAATAATTCGCGAGAATTCTCCATTGACAGCCTGAAAAAATTGAATAATAAAAAACAAAAGTTGATGCTTCTAACCTTAGGAACCATTCCTTCACTAATTCCATCGCGAATGATGAAAATAGTCGACGGAAGTTGTTTTCGGTTAGCTTTCAAAGTGCTAACAATCCATTTGATTCGCTCTCCAAAATAATCGACATCAAGTACATCTTGCTTACAAGGCTGATAAAGGTAATCGCCGACAAATTTAGAAGGATTGGCCAAATAGTTGCCGCAATACTGAAAATAATAATTTAATTATTTTTAAACTATACAAACCCCAATAGTGAGAGGATCTTCCGAAGTAAATCCTTCCATTCCTTGTTTGCTTAATTTGAATTTTTCAAACGCAGTAGCTCTGGGTGGACGAGAAGTATCGATGCCAAGAACCAGAATCTGACCAGAAGCAATGTCAAGCTTATTTTTGCTTAAAATTGGAAAGAATAACAAAAATATTATCATAAATTCTTACGTCACAGGATCAAAGAGAGGCATATAGTTCAAACCAAAAAGCCTATTATAAATTTATGAATTAATAATAATTTAAGTATCTCACTTCATATTCATTTTGGCAAGAACATTGCTAACAGAAGCAGGCCCGGCTTTGCTAACCATCTCAATATTAACATGTTGAGTAAGCACAGTATAACGACGTTCACAAAGTTTCAGTTTTGCTTAATTAAGAAAAAGTTAAGCAAAATAAATTTTTAACGATTACCGTGAGATTTAACAAAACGTTCATCAATGTAAAGAACAAATTGAATTTTTGCCTTCGAAAATTCAGCAAAGCGTTGTTCCATAGCATTGACTTCAAGATTTTCAAAAACTGGTTGAGGCAGTTTCATTCCACGTTGATTTGCCATTCGCTGAATATCGCCAATAAATTTACTTAAATAAAAAAATATTTTTAACTGAAAATAAAAAATAAATACTTGAATGAATCCTGTGTTACTCTTCGAGGAAAAGCCACAATCCAAGAACGAAGGACATCAGAAGGCTCCAAATAACGAAGAGGACCACGAATATCAAAACTACCCTAAAAATATTAAAAATTTTATTTATCGGAGATAGAAGGACTCAAACCTTATCGTTTTCATTTGGATTTGCTGTTTGATTATTCCCAAACCGGATAACCGGTAAGCTTCGCTGGCCAATTTGAACGTTGTTTTGATCACCTCGAAGTTTGACACCAAAATGGAACATAAATTTGGCACAATCACCATCTCGTCCAATTTGCCGCATTACATCCTTAATCATTTCACTACGAACATCAGGTCCAACAGCATTAGCCTAAAAAATTCAAAAATATACGAAGCAAAACAATGAAAAACCTTAAGAAGATCGCTCGAAATTTGAGCCATTTCATCAGTCAGTTGCATCTTATCTATAGATACACGCTGGAAAGGCAGGATCTCAAGACATTGGAGAGGATAAAGTGCCTAAAGTTCAAATGTTAAGGAACATTTACAAATTATAAATTTCTCACATCACGATCAACATGTTGACGTACTGCAGGCATGTTCCCTTCAATTCGAACATTTTTCTTTTCAGCAAAATATTGCATCATTGGAATGTTGCGGCCATCGACTTCAAAACTATAAATAAATTTTAACGATTATTCAGAACAAATTTAAAAACCTGATTTCAGAGACAAGCCGAGAAGTGATAGAATCAATAACAATCACTCGTGAAGGCGCATAAGTCAAGTAAGCGCTAACTCCTTTGAAGAGGTGGCCAAAATCTAACCAAAAGCCTTCCATAGCTTTACGGTCATTAGTACGAAGAGGATTCCTACGACGATTCATGGCAGACTGAACCATTCCTCTTGCAATATCCCCCAAATTTCCTTTCGCAAAGAATGCGCAAGTTTTGACTAAAAATAAAATATGAAAGCTAACTAAAGTAAGAAAATTTTACCGTCAGCAACAAGCGCAGGACACGGCTTAACATCACCATTAACAATAATACGAACACCCTTTGCCACTCCATTATGGGCAGTGATAGCATCGTTTAAACGCTTAGCCACTCTTTCTTCAAAAAGCCGACCAGGTCCAACTAGACGATGCGAACGACTAAATAAAATAACTCAATTATTTAAAAATTAAAAAAGCTTTTTAATCTCCGTGATTTCAAGTAAACATTTTTTATAATTAAAGTATAAGAGGAAAATAAACGGACGGATATACCAATGGTAAAATCCGATAAGAAAAATAAATTTAAAAAATTACGCATTAATGAAAGACTGAGAAGTCAGCATCTCAAAGAATGTACGAAGTGAGTGATCAGCTTGTATGTGAGGCGCAGGACAAAGCGCCGATGGAATGTCGTTCAAATTCAATTCATGACTTGAACCTTTGCACGGCTGCAATTCAAAAGTAATTGTTGCATTGTACAGAAATTTCCTGCAAAATTCACTCATGCGGTCTGGTGTAATCTCGCACGTCTAAAATTTAGAAAAATAAAAATTGAAGTTTTTAATAAATCAAAACCAAAGCAGGAACACGGCAATTAGTGAACAATATTTTTCGGTTGTCATAAACGAACAAAACCTGCATAAAAAATTTTAACAAAATTTTTAACATTAAATTTACCTTTCCATTACTGCCAAAACCCTGGGTATTCTCGAAGACGTGAGTTACCAATTCGAAGCAGATGTCCCGAAGAAGTCCTTTCTTTCCATCATCTCCACCACCTTTTGTTAGACTTTTGTTTTTAACCTTATCAGAAAGTTCCACATCGTAGCGGTAAACCATCACAACTCCAGGTTTAACATCGAACCTAAATGAATTTTAAATTATTATTAATACTTTTATTTTTAATTCTTACGTGTAAATATTGGCAAGACCTTCATTGTTTTTAATAAACTGAGTTGCTTGTGGTGGAATATTCTAAAAAATAATTTTTTAAAGAAATTTGGATTTATTTGCTTACTGCAGCAGCTCGAATGGTATTGACCACCTGGGACAAGTCTGCTGGCATTTTGGTAATGGAAAGAGATTTAAAAAAATTTAGAAATCAATAATCCACCACTAAAAATTAAGTTAAAAATATAAAAATTTTTATGGCACTTTAGCTAGTTTTATGGGATATGCGGAGTTAAGTAATGTGTTCCAAAAACATAAAATTAAATTTAAATTAAGAAATTTTCTACATAAATTTACTTTTAAATAAATCTCAACTGGATGTTGCGTAAATATCCCAAACCTATTTACATATGAAGGGAGGGAGGAGCTATTAATGTCACCGCTCATTTCCACAGATTAAAATTAATCTGAGAACGTATTAACGCAAAAACAAACTTTTTATGCGTGAAAAGCAGGGAGAACAAAAGAAAATACAAATTCCTTAGATTTTCCACAAGTTTAAATTTTAAAGTAATCTAAGTAATACTTAAAAAACACATCTGATTAAATCTTAGCCATATTCTTTAATCTATTCCTTTTTTTAAATAAAATTTACAAATTCCGTTTTGCAATCTATTTTTACAAAAACATTCAGAAATGGAAATATAAATGTTCTTAACCTATGTAAGCGAATGGAGAAGGTCATCGACTAAAAATAATAGTAAAGACCCTGCTTGGGTAATGTGAATGCAACATCAAATATCGACCAAAGAATGGGCGTTCTGTCTAATGGAAGGAAAAATATGCTCGGAAAACAAAAAAAAGCTTAAAGATAAAAAAAGGAAAATGGCAAAAAACGAAGCAATTTGCGTTAGGGAAATTTTTTTGATTTTTTAAATACGATTTAATGAAAACTAATTTCAATCAACTTTTAATCTGTTTACCCTTTGGTTAGGAAGTCAGACCCTTTCGAATACCCGAGTTATTTAGGAGTTTAAACACATAACTTCTGAGATAAGAAAAACTATTCAAGAAAATTTAATGTCCAGATAATTTATCCTCAATAAACAAAAAATCAAGAAAAAACAAAAATATTTTGCAGTATTATAGGGTGTTGTTCCTTAGTAAAATCAAAAGTATTTCCAGTTTTTTAAATTTATAAAGAAATTTTATAGATTCACTAACAGGCCTAAAAAAGGATTAACACCCGGTTAAACATATTTTAAAATCAAAAGTAAATGTCGTTTTATAATATAAAATAAAGAATTTTAACCATACCATATCAACATAAAATAACTCTCTATGATAAACTTCAAGTCTCCAATATCCAAATCAAGCATTAAAACGAGTCTTAGCCAAACCAGTAGTTCCATAAGGAACACGCTCATTAAGCATAGCAAAGTCAATAATGCGTTCTCCAGCAACACGAGGAATGTATTGAGGAGCATTTCTGAAAATTAGAAGTGATTGTGAGACCATTAGAAAGGAATCTTGATTTGTACTAACCGCTTCATCTCCATATAATTATTGCTTCCACGCTTTGCAAGCTCCTTAGCCTGTAAAACAGGTGACGGAAGAGCAGGCGGCATATTAACAATCTGCCACATGTTGCAAAGTCCAAGAATGAATGCCTGCAATTCGTCATTGTTAGCCTTGATCTCATTGATTGGGATCATGTATTGAGGAATTTTTGCAGTACCCTAAAAATACTTTTTTATTATTAAAAATATTAAAATATGGTTAAAACCTTCAGCGGATGATGCGCTTGCAAAAAGAACTCATGAAGGTCGACACGGACACACTTCTTGTCGATGACCGAGCCTGGTTTACAATTACGAATAGGGCCATTGTTGAAGAAAAAGCGCTTTGTATGGCGCTTATCAACAATAACGAAAACAAATTTTGGAGTCCACCCTTGCTCGACGCTCTTAAATGTCTCAATAATTCGCGCGAATTCTCCATTAACGGCCTGATAAAAATTGAATAAAAAAATAAATAAATTGGAACATACATTAGGAACCATCCCTTCACTAATACCATCGCGAATAATAAAAATTGTCGAGGGAAGTTGCTTCCGGTTCGATTTGAGAGAACCAACAATAGACTTAATTCTTTTTCCAAAATAATCAACATCAAGAACGTCCTGTTTGCAGGGCTGATAAATGTAGTCACCAACAAATTTAGCAGGATTTGGCAAATAGTTGCCGCAATACTGAAAATAACAAATTAAATAACTTTTAATAGTAATACAAACCCCAATAGTGAGAGGATCTTCCGAAGTAAATCCTTCCATTCCTTGCTTGCTTAATTTAAATTTCTCAAATGCAGTAGCCTTCGGTGGACGAGAAGTATCAATACCAAGAACCAGAACCTGACCAGAAGAAAGGTCAAGCTTATTTTTACTTAAAATCAAAAATATAAACAATATTAAATACAAATTCCTACGTCACAGGATCAAAAATAGGCATATAGTTCAATCCAAACAGCCTAAAAATAAATTTATGAATTAATAATGATTTAAGTATCTCACTTCATATTCATTTTCGCAAGAACATTGCCGACAGAAGCTGGCCCAGCCCTGCTAACCATCTCAATATTAACATGTTGAGTAAGTACAGTATAACGACGTTCACAAAATTTGAGTTTTGCTTTAATAAAGAAGCAAGATTAGCAAAAAAATTTAACAATTACCATGGGATTTAACAAAACGTTCATCAATGTAAAGAACAAATTGAATTTTTGCCTTCGAAAATTCAGAAAAACGTTGTTCCATTGCATTGACCTCAAGATTCTCAAAAACAGGCTGAGGCAGCTTCATTCCACGTTGATTTGCCATTCGTTGAATATCGCTGATAAACTTGCTTAAATAAAATTTCTTTAATCGTCATGAAAAAAGACCGTACTTCAAACTGTCCTGTGTAATTTTTCGCGGAAAAGCAACAATCCAAGAACGAAGGACATCAGATGGCTCCAAATATCGAAGAGGACCACGAACATCAAAACCACCCTTAAATATAATATTAAAATGTTTACAAGTAATATATCTATAAGTATATTGGCCATGCTTCGAGTCATAGTATAGTAATAAAATAAAGTGATAAAAGGTGACGAGAGAAATTAAACTCAAACCCTTTCGTTATCATTTGGATTTGCTGTAAGATTATTCCCAAACTGAATAATCGGCAGTTTACGCAGACCAATTTGAACGTTGTTTTGATCACCACGAAGTTTGACACCAAAACGATACATAAATTTGGCACAATCACCATCTCTCCCAATCTGTCTCATTTGTTCCTTAATCATTTCACTTCGAACTTCAGGTCCAACAGCATTAGCCTACAAATTCGGAAATATACAACGGAAAACAATGAAAACCTTAAGAAGATCGCTCGAAATTTGAGCCATTTCATCAGTCAATTGCATCTTATCCAAGGATACACGCTGGAAAGGCAAGATTTCGAGGCATTGAAGCGGATAAATAGCCTATTTTTAAAAAGATAAAAATAGACAAAATTTATTTTCTCACATCACGATCAACATGTTGACGTACGGCAGGCATATTCCCTTCAATTCGAACATTTTTCTTTTCAGCAAAATATTGAATCATTGGAATGTTGCGACCATCGACTTCAAAACTACAAATGACTTAAGTATTCGGTGCGATCATAATTAGCCGCGTATTTTTTCTAGATTGAATAAACACAAAAAATAGTTTCAACGTTTTTTTATGACTTATGCTATTTTGTAGCCCTGAATCTGCTCTCTAATCTCACATAGGGTCTTTTCACGTTTCATGTCTTATACTCGCTTTAGAACCTCTGGAATACCCCTAACTCGGAAAGCATTTTTTGAGCTTTAGCGGAAAATTTTATAATATAAACAGAAATAAACCAATCCAAGTGAAATTTTTCATATATGTTCATCATAGGGTTATCCATCAAATTATAAAATTTGAGATTTTTTGGTTAGGTATTTCAAAAGTTATGGTCGAAAAAGTCGAATCAGGCATATTTTACAAATTTCAAATTTTCTCGAAAAATTCTTGGATTTGATATGACTTGGAATATACCATTCAAAAGCCCTTTCTGAATTACACAAGATAGTATTAACGAAATTTTATAAAATTTTTAAATTAAGAATTAAATTTACAAAAAACCATAATGTCAAGTAAAGGAAAAAACAAGTAGAGATACCCCCAAAAACTCGAAATTTCGAACTTTCCGTAAAATCATCCGATTTAGATAATTCGAACAATATTCAGAAGCCCTCACAGTTCTATATGAGAAACTAAACCGAAAATACTTTTTTGGTACACAGGGGTCGAAAATACACAGGGGTCGGAATTTCGACTTTTTTCTCGTTCGAATTTTTAAAATTTTCTTTTTTTCGCTAGTTAAAGCATTTGAAGAGCTTTCGATTGATATATCACATGCCAACCATTTACCAATAATTTTGAAGATATTTCGATATATTTGCTAAAAATCAGTAATTTGACTACCCCGAATTTTTTGACCATAACTCTTACTATGCTTAACAAAAAATTTTAAAATTTTAGAGGCTGTTAGAGGTGTCTCTAAATTATCTCCATGGTGATTATCTCGTTGATTGATACTATTTTTGCTTATATTTTTACTATTTTAATTTTGAATAAAATACGCGGGTAATTATGATCGCACCGAATAATTATTCAAAACAAATTTAAAAACCTAATTTCCGAAACAAGCCGAGTAGTGATAGAGTCAATAACAATCACTCGTGAAGGCGCATAAGTCAAGTAAGCACTAACTCCTTTGAAGAGGTGGCCAAAATCTAACCAAAAGCCTTCCATCGCTTTACGGTCATTTGTTCGGAGAGGGTTTCTACGACGACTCATGGCGGATTGAACCATTCCTCTTGCAATATCGCCCAAATTCCCTTTCGCAAAGAATGCGCAAGTTTTGACTAAAAATTTTAATTACTATAAATAATTAAGAACTAGCATACCCTCAGCAACAATAGCAGGAACTGGTTTATCTCCACCATTAGCAATGATACGAACACCCTTTGCTACTCCACGATGAGCAACAATAGCATCATTCAATCGTTTGACTTCCTTTTCTTCAAAAAGACGGCCATTTCCAACCAAACGATGTGTACGACTGAAATAAAATTAAGCTATTATTTTGAGTAGTTAAGTTTGATTTACGCATTAATGAAAGACTGAGAAGTCAGCATCTCAAAAAATGTACGAAGAGAATGATCCGCTTGCATATGAGGCGCAGGACAAAGCGCTGATTGAATGTCGTTTAAATTCAATTCATGACTTAACCCTTTGCACGGCTGCAACTCAAACGTGATTGTCGCATTACGAAGAAATTTCCGGCAAAATGGCGTCATACGTTCAGGCTTAATCTCACAAGTCTAAAAAATAGAAATTCCATCCAAATATTTAGAATAAGGATTGTTCCCCGTCTCCAAGTCAGGGAATTTGGCCTTTTGGAAATTCTAAACATTCCTGAGGCCATTCGCCGTCCCAGGTCCAGGCCGAATTCAAGGTCCGAGTCGAATTTCCAAGTCAAATTCCCTGACTTGGGGACAGGGACCTAATTAGAATGGTTAAAATAACCCTAGTTAAACCTTAATTATGAAAACTAACCAAAGCAGGAACTCGAAGATTTGTAAACAAAATCTTGCGATTGTCATACACAAACAAAACCTAAAGAATTAAAGTTGTAACACTTATTATATTTATATACCGTTCCATCGCAGTTCAGGTTTTGAGTACTATCGAACACATCTTTGACAAGTTCGAAACAGATGTCCCGCAAAAGTCCCCTTTTCCCATCATCTCCACCTCCTTTTGTTAAGCTCTTATCCTTGACCTTATCAGAAAGTTCAACGTCATAACGGTAAACTACAGCATCCGGCTTGACGATAAACCTGAAATTTAGCTAGTATCACTAAATTTAGATAAGCGTGTTGTTACCCATAAATATTCGCATAACCATTTTGAGTGCTCAAAAACTGTGACGCCGGAGGCGGAATGTTCTGAATCAAAGGAATTTTATCTAGATTAGATGTACTCTTACCGAAGAAATTTTAAGACTGGCCACATATGAAGCCAAGTCCATTTCAGACAAATTTTAAAAGAAAGCAATAAACAAAAAGTAAACCAATCTAAAGCGCAAACCTAGATAATTGTGAACAACAAAAATATTAAGGTATCAAAACAATTAAAAATGTAAGAAAGAAAATTAAACAAATAAGTAAAGATTTTATGCTTTTCAACAAAATTTGCGTAATGGGTACTGGACAATAAGCGTTTTGTTTACATTAAATAAAATCAAAAGTAAAATTTTTTAACAATCATTCATATGCCAGTCCATCAAACCCCATTCATTTCCATGTTCTCAGCGAGCTGTAGTACAGTCACGCGCGAAATGTCCAGTCTCTCCGCATGAATAACACTCTATAAAATAAACATGAATTAAAGTTTATGGTAAACTCTTACTGGAGCCACCACTTCCTCCACCGCCACGTCCACCGTCGCCGCCATCTGGACATTCACGAGCAAAATGACCAGCCTTTCCGCAACTGAAGCAACTGCCACCTAGAAAAAGCATATTATATCAAATTTCAAAAATTCAGCAGTGTAAAACCCTCACCTCCGCCGCCTCCTCGGCCTCCGCCACCAGAACGACCAACACGATCTGGACAATCGCGAACAAAATGCCCAGTCTGGCCACATTCATGACATTCTGAATTTAAAACTTTAGAAATTTCAAAAGGTTTCAACAGAATACCACGTCCACGGCCACCACCGCCGCCTCCACCACCACCAGAGCGATCCGGACAGTTACGGGAGATATGACCAGATTGACCACAGTTGTAGCACGCTCAAATAAAAGAATCTTTTAAGTATATAATTAAAAATACTTACAACGATCAGACATTGTTAAAATAAATCGCAAAGAGAAAAGTAAATAAAACTTTTGTTTTTGGAAAAATCTAAAAAAGAAACGGACAAAACAACCATTAGAAATCAAAAAAACAAAAACAATAAAACTTAAAAGTTATCTAAAAATGAGAAAAATGAGCTTTACTCGGGCTTAAATAGTAAGATAACGCATACAAATACATAATGCCAAAATTACTTAAAATTAGGTTAATTTAAATTTTGCAACTACGACTCAAATTTATTTATTTCGAAAAATCCAACGGCCCGATTTCGAAATAATATTTTTACTTTTTCTGTAGTCCAGTTTAATCAACATTTGTATAATCAAATTTTATCTTCGTTAGTAATTGGACATATAAAATTTACAAGAGCTCTTTGCGTTTATCTTTGCTTAAATTAAACTTGCTTTCAAGATTTTTATTCCTCTACATATTTTTTAAGGTCTAAACTATTTGAATTTTATCTCAATTATGTCTGTACAATCCCTTCTTAGCGAAGTTCGTCCAAATATGGAAATTTTCCAGGTTTGAATTTTGTTTTTAATAAGATTTGACCATCAATTTAAGGCAATTAAAGCGGCTGACCAACTTTTTTACAAAGACAGAGTTCATTATGTGGATCTTAAACCTATTTTTACTTCTAAAAAGGAAGGAAAAATTGAAGGAATCGTTCAAGCTAACAATGAGCACAAGGATAACTTGACGAAACCAGACAAAAAATCTGTTGAAAATGTTCAAGGTATATTTTTAATAAATAATAATTGGATTTTTTAGTTTTTATCTGACAATTGTCTTTATTAACATTTTATTTTTTTTAATTTTCTTGTTTTTAGCAAAGGAAAGCGGCAAGAAAGAGAAGGTAAAAGCCAAAACTGCAATGGACAAAATGGAAAATGGGAATGTTAAGAAAGAAAAAATTGATGTTCAGAATGCTAAAAAGGAAAAGGCGAACGTCCAAATTGCTAAAAAGCAAAAAGATAACATTTCTGCCAATTCTGGAAATGCCACAAGTAAACTCCAACAAGTCATCCATCAGGCCCAAAAGACTATCGAAAAGGCTCTAAACACTGGAAGCAATTCTTCTGTTTCGGTTATGGAGCCTCCTAGTTCTGCGACTGATGAGCTGAAACGTTTACGTACGGAGAATGCCGTTCTGTGCAAAAAATTGGAAATGCAGGAGAAAACAATTAATAGATTGGAGAAAATAACTCAAAAAGTATTTAATTTTAGTCTAAATTTTTTTTATCAATTTGGATTTTTTAGTTGCTTCAAAAGTCTGGTATGACTGAGGCTGACCTTTCTGATTGAGATGGATCCTATTAAAATCTAGAAGAATATGATAAGAAATTATATTGAGTACGTTATTTAGTATATACTTGGGTAATTATTAAATATTTGTTTTTTGCGGAATTCTGTGAGTTCACAGAAACCTAAACAAAATTTAAATTCAAAAAAATCTAATTCTTGAAAAAATTCCTTTAAATATTAAAAATAGAAGGGACTGACCAAGGGGGCCGACCTTATTCAGAGAAATCGGAAATATAACTAAAATTGTTCTCTAATTTTTGTCCGCAAAAACAAAATAATTATCCAAACATATTACCCATAATTTTACTACGGGCTTGTGACAACATGTATTCAAGTGAGGAGTTTGTTTTTTCCTATCTAAATATAATAGAAAAATTCTTTGTTGTATGAGAGGTAATTAAAATTTGATTTGATTTTCGATTAATTTCATACAATTTTGAATTTTTCAGAAATTAAATTGTAGCTCTAATATATATTGATCGTCATCTTTTTCCCTTTTCGCCATCTGAATCCAATACGATTATTTTTGTACTCAAATACATATTGTTTATTATAGTTGTGTTCTATTTTAATTGTTAGTTAACGAAAATTAAAAATTTGTCTAATGTCTTTAATGCCGGTAATTTGTTTTTAATAAACTGAATAAATTTAAAGCTTTTTGTTGATTTTTTCTTTTAATGTTTTGCTCATTTATTTTTGTTTTTATTCAAAGTAATTTTAATTTGTTTGAATTATATAGATGGGACCTTGGAGAGCATGTCTTGGAAAAATTGGAAGGCCCGAAGCGATAAAACTTTACAAAGTGAAGTGAGTAAATTAAAAATTTTGCACGGGAATATTTTATATGGGATTAGACAAGGGTCTTTATTTCGGATTTTTATACGTCCACAATTTTGGTTTAGAAAATCCGCAGGTTTTTCAGCAAATCCGCATTTTAAAAAATCATCGACCTGTCACAAAATGAGAAAATCCGAGCATCTAAGAAATCTGAAAGATTAGACTGATAGCGGGGGTGTAGTAACTGTCCCTATCCATGAACTTTTAAGATAAAATCCATTTTTAGATTAATGAGACCTGATGGAAGTGTTATTTTTGCTCGGACTGCAGAACCCCGAGTTCTTATTCAACTCCCAATTGATCTGCGAACCGCTGATGAATATGAAAGAAGAATTCGTATTGCTGAACGAAGGCCGATGGTCAAACGTGAATTTGAGGTTTTTATTTTCATTAGGAAAAACGGAAATATTTTTCTTTAGGATCTTGGCGAAGATACTTTTAGTCATCAAAAATATACTACACAATGGAAGCGTTGATAGATGAATATTTTTTCTTGTTTTTTTAAATAAATTTTATTTCATTCTTTAATTCCTTATTTTTAGTTTAATTTAACAAATAATTATTTTAAACAAATTTTTGAACGTTAAAAATTAATATAATTTTAAAAGGAAAAATGCAGGCTGATGATATTGTTTGGAATCAATTAAATAATGGACATTGTTCTTTTAAGATAGTGTAAGTTTTTTTAAAATAATTTAAATATACTTATTTCATGTCAGTACAAAGTCGAAGAAGTTTTGTCGGAACGAGTACAACCTTACTGGAATTTGTAATAAAGCTTCTTGTCCTTTGGCTAATAGTCAATATGCTACTGTTAGGGAAGAGAAAGGTTTTAATTAATTTTTGGTTTTTAAAATGCTGTTAGGGGTTGAACTAAGGCTTGTTTAGGTATATTGTCTCATTCACAAAAATTAATCCGCACGAAAACTTGGGAACTTTTTCAATTAAAGAGTCAAAATGGAGATGGGATTTTTATCTTGTCCACATTGAAAATAAGGTTTGTCCCCGTCCTCCTCCGTGGCGAAGGAAAAAATATAAAATACTCGAATGATAAGCTAATAAAATCTCGATTTACTATTTTAAGAATTTTCAAAAATATTTTTTTAGGTGTTTGCTATTTATATATGAAGGTAATTGAACGAAGTCATTTCCCTGCTCGTTTATGGGAAAAAGTCAAATTAAATAGAAATATGGTCAAAGCTGTTGAACAAATAAATGTTAATTTATTACATTGGAGTGATTATATTAGACAAAAGTGTAAAGCTAGGGTTATCAGAATTCATCAATATTTGGCAAGGATGAGGAAAATGAAATTAAGAGGAAGGCAGCCAAAGATTATTCCAATTCAGGTTAAAATATATATTTTTAATTTTCAAAACTAACCTGGGGAATGGAAAAATTAGATATGAATGAAACGAAAATTCCAATTCTTGAATTGTTTGAATCGTCCCAAAAAGCCTGCGGCAATTTTCAGAAACCTTTTTCCAAACTCGAACAGCATTCTTTGAAAATTTGCTACAGTTGCCTGAATCACTCGAGGTTGTTAAAAAGCCCCTGAAAATTAACACCCCTCTTGATGTCGAATCGTCGATTTTAGGGTATCATAGTGTATGGGAGTCATTTAACATTGATCAAGAATATTTTTTAATTTTTACTTAATCTTTAGAGAAAGATTGAACGGAGAGAAAAGCGAAGAGAAGAAAAGGCTTTAATTGCTGCAAAACTTGACAATGCTATAGAAAGGGAATTACTTGAAAGATTAAAGAAAGGAAATTATGGGGAAATGTATAAATTTAGTCAAAAGGCAATTGACAAAACTGTTGACAGAATGAGAGAAGATGAAGAGGAGGACGAGGAAGAAGTTGAATATGAAATGGAGCAAGAAGATCAACGCCAATTTGTTGAAGATTTTGAAGAATCTGAAGAGGAGGAGGAACAGGATATTGAAGATATTTAATTTTGTTTGTTGGAAGTTTTCAATTGTTTATTTAAAATAAAAATTTTACATATTTAAATTAAAAAAAAGTATTCTAACATTAAGGCAATATCTAATTGTCATCACAGAAATTATTTAATGGCAGAAAATGTAAATATTATAAGGCAAGGAAGTTTTCTTACAAAGTACTTAATTAGTGCACTTTTAATTGAACTTCTATTTCTGATTTTTTGAAAAAGAATTAGTCATTTTTGATCAAAAATGTTTATGTAAAATAGAAATTCAATTGAGTTCTTTATAGGTAGGGGAGTTGGATAAAATATAAGACAATCCTATTAAAACACAAAAATTTTTAGTTTTGATCTGTTTAAAAATACTCAACTCGGCCAATTTTTATCCAATCCCTACCCAACAAATAAAAATAGCATTCTATTATTAGAGCTGGACAAAATTAAAAATATATAAAAATCAAAATATTAATTAAAATAAAAATAATTAAAAATCATAAGCCACTCGCAATTCTAAAAGAATACCTTCCATTTTATTTGAAAAGAAACGAAAGAGAGGACGTAAATCGCCAGAAATCGCGCATAGAATTGCTTCACAAACCAAATTGTTAATTTCATTAGGAGAAAATAAGGAAGGAAATGAATATAAATTTAATAAAATATTTCCAAGTAGACAAGCAGTTTGATTTGTGCCTTCTTTAAATGGTTGTATATATTGCTAAAAAAGGGAAGAATTAAAACGAATATAGATTTAAGAGAAATGGGAAAAGCTCCGATATGCTTTTAAATCTAGGGACAATAAACTTTAGCAGATAATTTTGATTTTTCCTGTACTAACGAAAAGGTGTTAGAATAGAACGATCAAACAGAAGAAATTCCGAAATTTAATTTTTAAATCGAACAAAGCTTCAAATTAAGGTTGCTCACTACCGATTATTAACCAATACCCCCGGGTTTCGATTTTGAGTTTTCGACAAATACCGGTTTTATTTTGGGGGGATTTTTAATAATATAACTCATGTTCAGAAGTTTTCGGTATTTTAAATTTTTTAAACCCTACTTCAAATGAAAAGAAAAATTATAATTATTTTTGGTTAAGTTAGATCATCTTTCTTAACTTTATTTTCTCACCAAAAAGAAGAACACTAAAACTGTAAACTCTAAAGGATGCATTTGCCTTTCTTTAACCAAAATAGTTCCTTCATTCAAAAATAAACAAAATTTATTCATTTCTTCTTTAATTAAATTAAAATCTATTAAAGTAAAAACTTCATTTTTATCAGAATTTTCCATTTTATTTGAACAACGTAAATTATTCTCTTTCTCTTCTGTTTTGTTCAACAATAAATTATTTATTTGAATAATTTTCTGTTAAAAATAAAAAAAAATAAAATTAATAAAAATTATTTTTTACCTCAAAATTTAATTTTTTAATATCTTCTGTTTCTTTAAATTCAGAAATTAAATCTTCTAAATTTTTATTTCCAAAAGTGTCCACAAAAGGAAGAGAATTTTCTGATTTTAAATTTCTCTCCTCCAAAAGTTGGTCAATTCTATCAAGAATTGCATCATCTTCTTCATCTACTTTGTCAATTAATAATTTTGCCATACTAAAATTTTTTTTCAAATTAAAAATGGAAATACTATATTAAATTAATTTTGGAATTGGAAATTTCAGATTATTTGAAAAACAACAAATAAAACAGTTCCAAAACTAGTGACAGGTAAAGTCGATTTTTCCCGACCCGGATTTGCAACTTGAACTGGACCGGACCCGGCCGGAAGGAAATTGCGAAAAAATCCGGATTTGGGACCCGGACTCCGGAAAAATCAGGCCGGATCCGGTCCGGCCCCGGTCACTACCCAAAACATAATACAATTAAAAAATATTTTTTTACCTTTTATGTGCCAATGAAGGCTTCAAAAATAATAAACGACATAAAATCCCTTCTGCTACAGAAAAATGATTAATTGCCATTTCAATGTTAAATAAAAGTTCAAGAAGTAAAGCATTTGAAGGAGCTTCGTTAATTATTCCTTTATGAATTTCTTCTAGCAATCCCTTACATTTTGATATTTCTTGGGGATTTTGAATTAATTGTTCAATTTGTGATAATTTTGATTGAATAGATTTTACAACAACAGGAGAAGTTTCTTTTGAAAGACGTCGACGAAAACCTAATAATTAAATTAAAAATTTATTTTGTTCAGAATTACTTGTCTGAAAAATTAAAGAAGTGATTTATTCCCCTTTAAATATTATGAAATTAATTTCAGAAAAATCACTCAGTTTATCAAAGACCGGAAACATATGGATGGGCACACAAACGAATATCAATAACACAAAAATTGCACTCATTTTTGAAAAATACGCCAAAGAACATGTCGGGAAATTGAGAACATACCCAACTAAAAACCAAAAAATTTAATTACTACCAAAATAATGAAGATTATTTGAAGGCAGTTCCATCCAAAAACGACGTCGTCCATATCCACCTCCACCGGGAGTTTCTAATTCTAAAATGTCCTAAAAGAGGGAAAAAATCACAATAGATTTCAAAAAAAATTTACCCCAGGATTAACATTTAAACTTATTTTTGCACCCAAATTGTCACGGACTCCATCTGATGCACGCAAAAGAATATTTCTTCCAATTTTGCCTGGTCTTCCTCCATTTAATCCGTAGGGAGCAAAAACCCGACGTTCAGTTAGCAAAGAAAGACGTACATTTTTGCAAAATTGGAGATAACGACAAATCCCATCTCCTCCATGCCATCGGCCTGCGCCTCCTGAACCTTTGCGGAGAAGGAACTTACGAGCAATAACAGCCTTAAACGTTCGATAAAAATTTTCTTTTATAAAATTAATAAACTAACAGGATAATGCCTTTCTAAAACCTCAACATCAGTAATCCTCGTATTCGTCATATGTGAATGAACACCAGATCTTCCATGGAAACCATTACCGGCCCCAGCGCCACCACCAATTGTTTCATAATAACCATAAGAATCATCACCAAAAGTTAAATTATTCATGCAGCCTTGAGAAGCTGCAACAGCGTCAAAAGCATGAAGAATAACATCACAGAGACGTTGAGAGGTGAGAACGTTGCCTCCGACAACTGCGGCTTCATCGCTTGGATTTAGAATAGTGCCATAAGGAACTCGAATCTGAAAATGATTTTTAAAGAAGGATTCAAGAATTAAAATAAACCTTAACAGGAGCCAAACATCCTTGATTTAAAGGAATATCTCGTCCAACAAGACAACGGAGACAATAAATAACCGATGCCATTAAGACAGCTGGTGGTGTGTTGCAACTGTTGTGAACTTGTAAACCAGTGCCAGTAAAATCAAAGAGAACATCTCCCTATTTAAATAAAAATATTAGAGATTGGATTTTAAGTTTTAGAGTTCAAATCCATGATATCCAGTAGTTACTTAGTACCAAAAAGCCATATCTTTGACTTAAATTCGATAAGAGACTGCAAAAATAAACACTCTCTCAATCAGTCATAATCTCTTTTTTTATTTAAATAATAATTTCAAACCGTGTCTTTGTTAATTTCCAAAGTAAGTTTAATAGGTGTTCCATCATCCATTTTATCTTCAGCAACTTTTCTTAAAATTTTATTTTCACTATTTATTCCAATTGAATCAGCAACATTTTTAATTAATTGTCTAACAGCTAATTCAGCATTTTGTTGAATATGTAACATATATGAACGAACAACAGGGAGAGAATATGAAGAAACTAATTCTTTTAAAAGAAGTATTCCTTTATGATTAGCAGCTATTTGAGCATTTAAATCAGCCAAATTGTCTGCAATATTTCGAGCACTAGAACAACCAGGTATGTTACAAGGAGCATTTAATATATCTTTTAATTCTTTTTCGTTCAAATGACCTTCAGAGACAAGTTTAAAAGATATAAAAACAACGCCTTCTTGCTCCAAATGTGTGGAATGTGGAGGCATTGAGCCTTAAAAATTTTAGAAAAATATGAATTGTAAAAATTTTCCTTAAAATATAAAGAAAACTTACCAGGACAAAGTCCACCAATATCTAAAAAAATAAAAATTTAATATTTTATAAATTTTATTTTAAAAAATTACCAGAATGGTGACCACGATTTGCAAGAAAAAAGTCTGGAGTTTTTGAATCATCGGAGATAAACACCTGAAAAAAATCAACTTTAAAATAAAAATTCATTTACTAACCGGTGTAATAACAGTCAAATCTGGTAAATGCGAGCCACCAGCTTTTGGATGATTGCTAAGATAAACATCCCCCCTCTTGAAATTCTCAGCACCAACATGCTTTATTTGGAAACGTACAGCCGCCTGCATTCCACCCAAATGAACAGGAATATGCGGAGCATTGGCTACAAGTCCACCATTGTGACAGAATAACGCACAAGAAAAATCTAGTCGATCCTTTATGTTTACAGAGAAAGCAGAACGTTGCAAAGCAGTTCCCATTTGTTCAGCAATAGACATGAAACGATGTGAAAAGATGGATAATTGGATTGGATCTAGCTCTGTTCCAATTGTGTCTTTAGAGACTGACGATAATTGAATAAGTACATTTCCATGCAAAGTGATTTCCGCCTGACAATTTGGTTCGACAAGTATTGTACTAAAAATGTGAGAAATTACCCAAAAATCTCTAGAAAAGTTGGGTCTTTTGTTTTAAAAATTAAAAGATTTCAACAAGCTAAAAAATTAAAAAGATACCAATTAGCGTCCACAATAATTGCAGGTCCAGAAATTAAATGGCCAAAGTGAAGCTCTTTTAAATCATAAACATTTGTGTCCAATTCACCTTCCTAGAAAAGAATATATAATTCTAACTTTTATAGAATAACCTCAAAATAGCATTTAGTAACAAGTTTGAGTGGCGGAGGCGTGTTTGTGCGTTCCTGCAGATGTTCTGAGGGCAACAAAAAACGTTTGGCAATTCCACGAACACTTAAATAAAATAATTAAAATCTCCGATATTTTTGTTTTAAAATATAAAAACAATCAAGAATTTGCTATAAAACTAACCGAACATCATGTGCAATAATTGCTCTTTTAGGCATTTTAAAACCAAATTCTCTTGTGAATTTTTCTTCAAATGCCTCAATAAAATGGGAATAATCATCTCCTCTAGAATTTCCAATTGGTTGACACATTAAAGAATAACTAGAGTATTCATATCCCATATTCAAAATTCTTTCAAATTTGCATTGTTCGGGGTTAAAGCCTTGAGAAATTAATTCATTAAGCGAAGCAGCTTCGAGATGTTCAAAACGTTCATTTAATAATGGGAAATTCTCAGCTAAAAAATTTTTTAATTCGATATTTTTAAGTTAATCAAACCATTAAATTTATGAATCCAAGATTCTTGTTGTTCATTAACTACATCGGCCAATACTAAACCATAAGCAGAAAGAACACCAGCATGTTTGTGTATTTTTACTCTACTCATTCCTTTTAATTGAAAAATTGTTAGGAATAAAAAATTTTTTATAAAAAGAAAAAAACATCTTCTACCAAGTGCTCGAGCAATTGCACATGCATGTTGACCACCAGCACCACCAAAGCAACTTAATATGTGTCGACTTGTGTCAAAACCTTTAGCCTGAAAATAAATTCTTTAAAAAACTTTAAAATAATTAACAAACCTCAGTTAATGTTCTAATAGGTCGACACATAGACTCATTGGCAACTCGAATAAATCCAAAAGCACATTCTTGTACGGAGATAGGTGGGCGGCCTTGCACAGAAATGTGAGCATTGACTTCCTCATTTAAGGCTTTAAATGCTTTCAAAGAAGCGGTCCTTTTAGAATTTATTTGAACTAGCATCATAATTAATAAACAAACTTATCCAACGGCTGCTGCTCATCTTGTCCAAAAATTTTAGGAAAAAATTCAGGGAGCACTCGACCCAAAACAACATTTGCATCTGTAACAGCCAAAGGGCCTCCTTTACCGTAACAGACAGGACCGGGATTGGAACCAGCTGATTCAGGGCCAACAATAAAAAGTCCATCACGAAAGAAGAGACGAGAACCGCCACCAGCCGCCACAGTTTTAATTTCTAATTGTGGGGCTTGAATAGCAATACCAGCAGTGATGGAATCAACAACATGTACAAAACGTCCATCATAACGAGAAACATCTAAAATTTGTTAAAAATGAGGAAAATTAGTAATTATTTATGTGAATATATTTTTACAATTTTTTGAAAAAAAGGAACCTACAAAACTATCCCAAAAACAGGCCCGTAGCCAGTGGGTAGGGGGGAATCCCCCCCCCCCCCGAAATGAAGAAAAGGAAAAAATTTGGGGAGGAGTTTGGGCAATAAAGTGAATTTTTTGGCCTACGGGCTTCTAAAATTCTCAAAATTTTCGCCTGCGGCGCTAAAATTTCCCCCTGCCCCCCCCCCTCGAAAAAAATCCTACGGGTCTGCCCGAAAATATTCTGAAATTTAACCTGTCGAAGTTCCTCCCATATCAAATCCAATAACTGGCTCTTTATTTTCTTGATCATAAGCAGTAAAAGAAACACCAACAACTCCACCAGCTGGACCACTTAAAATTGCTCTACTTCCAATAAAACTAAAAAAACTTTACAAAAACTTAATTTAAAAGAAAACCTTTCAATAGGACACAAACCCCCATCCGATTGCATAAATTCAACCTCAACTCCTTCCAAATTATTTACAAAACCAGAACGAAATCCTTTAATATAATTATGAATAATTGGCGTTAAATAAGCATCAGAACAAGCTAAAAATTAATTTTTAAGAAATTAATTAAAATTTAAAAAAAACTTGTAAACCCTCTCGGAACAGCTTTAACCATTGAAATAACTTTACTAGACAAAGAAACATTAGAAAAACCAATTTCTTTTGCTAATTGTCCAACAGTCTCTTCATGAGCAGAATAACTTTAATAAAAATATTTTAGAGAAAAAAATAATTAAAATAAAGTTACTTATTTTGAACTAAATAAAACAAAATGAAAACACAAAAGAATAGAAATTATGTGAAGACTATTTTTAAAAATTATTATTTAAAAAATTTGCTTTAAAAATAAAGTCCTCGGATATACTAGAGATCGGGCTGAGTCTGGACTAGAGATCAAATTTTGAAAAGCCTGTGCCTGTTCCTGGACTCAGAGGGTTTGACTCTTGCCATAAGTTGGATCCTGGGCCTGTAGTCGAGGAAAAATCCAGGAAGGTCAAAAAATGCCTGGGCTCTGGGTAAAGGAAAAACCCAGACCTTGGTCCAGACCATGGCCGATCTCTAATCTGGGGACCAAGGCCTGGGTTTTTCCTGAACCCAGAGACCAGGCCCAGGCATTTTTTAACCTTACTAGTTTTCCTGGACTACAGGCTACAGGCCCAGGACCCGGCCCAGGTCAATAAAACAAAGCCGAAACCCAGCAACAGGCGCAGCCTTTTCAAAAATTCCGACCTCTAAAAAATATTTAAAAAATTATAGCACAACTAAATTAAAATATTTAAAAATTTACATATAAGAATGAATAAAAAGTATAGCCAAAGAACGTATTCCTTTCGAATAAATTGACAATAATTGTTGTTTAATTTTATCCAAATCCAAAGGTTTTTCTATTATAATCTTTTTTTTAAATAAAAAATAATTAAATTTAAATTAAAAAGAAAAACCGGTTGTCCATTCGAAGCTTTAATTCTTTCACCAGAAATTTTTAATTGACAAGAAGGATGATCAATCAAAATTCTTTCATCAATTTCAATAACTTGAGTGTAAAGAGTTGAAGGAATTTTTATATCAAATTCAAAAATTTTTGGTCGAGATTGGTTTCCGATATAAAGTAAATCCTAAAAAATAATTTTTATAAATTATTTAGTCAAAATTTGTATGTGAATTGTGTAATTTCATAAATCAGTTTTACAAGAATTTGTCGAAAATTGAATTCTTTATGAGATTAAAGCAGGGTAGCACACCGAGCCTTCGGGGGTGGGAGTGTCGGGTTTAGGGTTTGACAGGGTAAAGCCTTCGGGGTTTGGGCCGGGATTTTGATTAAAAATTCGTCGAAGGTAGGGGTTTAGGGACGAGATGCTACCCTAGATTAAGACATAATTTATAAAGAATTAAGAGGGTTTGAGTTATTTTGGCAAATTAAAATAATAGGTAATGTCAAGGGTTGTTTATGTTAGTTGTAGGCCCACACAGGACGAAAAAGAATTATGAAAGGTGCTACCCTAGATTAAGACATTTTGATTAAAAATTCGTCGAAGGTAGGGGTTTAGGGACGAGATGCTACAAACTGAAATGCGCGGTAATCCTTAAGATCATTGGTCCCTAGAAAAAAATATCAAAAATGCACTTTCGATATTTTTGAGGCTTGCCAGTAGGTAATCGAGTTCCAATTTATAAAAAAAAATTTAAAAATAAACAAAAAAATACTTTAAATCCTTTAGTAATCAACAAAGCCATAGGTTCCCCTTTTCTTTCAAGCAAAGCATTTGTAGCCACAGTTGTACCCATTCTAATCCAAGCAATATTTTTAACATCAATTAATTCCCCTTTTTTAATTTCTTTTCCAGTAAATTCACTTAAAATACGTCTAATTGCCTCAGTTGGGGCATCATTATAATTTTGTGGGTCTTCAGAAAGTAATTTAAATGTTTTACAATTTCCATTTGGATAAACAACAAAAACATCTGTAAATGTCCCTCCTCTGTCAATTCCAAATCCGAGACGTTGAAGTTTATTATTGATATTATCTATAACCATTTTTGGGTTCTAAACAATAAAAATATAATTAATAGATAGTTTAGAATAGAATTTTAGTCTTTATCTCGATAAAAATGCAAAAAAAAGTTAGAAAAAAACAGACGAAAGTTATTAAAAAACTAAAAACGGTAATTTTGAAATGAACGGTAATTTGAACGTTGTCTCCCCAAATCTACGGCAATAAGTACCCAGCTCCACGTGTTACAACCTAAGGTCCGGTACTGTGCATGTGTACCATCTCTATTCCCATAAAAGATTTTGGGGAATATGGTAACCTATTCAAAATAAGGTAGTTACAATAAATAATCAAGTTTTCGCATCGGTTCCAATTGCAGAGGCTAATGATTTACGGGATGATTTTGGTACACATACAGTGTGACGGGCTTCAGGCTCTAACACGCAAGTCTGAGTACTTATTGCCAGAGATTTGAGCAGAAAATAAAATACAACACATACAAAGTTCAAAATTACTCTAAAAACTACTGGTTGAAGTGTGAAATATTTTCGATATTACTATAACTAAAGGATTTTTTGTTCAAACTTTTTTTAAAAGTTAGCCAAGAAACACCTACAAAAATTTTTAATATTCCTTTATTGGAATAAAGATCAAAAGAAGTGTTAATCTGTATTTGGATAAAAATATTATTAATAAGTTTACTAATATTTATTAAGATATCTTAAGAATATCAAGAAGTTTAAAATAATTTTAATTGGTAATGTTTTTTCTAACATAAAATAATATCATTAAAAATAAGTATAGCTACATACATACTAGTGTTTCACCGGAACCGAAATTTTGACCGGAACCGGAACCGGAACCGGATCCAATTTAAGTTCCGGTTCCCGGAACCGGAACCGGAACTTTTCTAAGTTCCGGCCCGGAACCGGAACCGGAACCGGAACTTTTAAAAAAATTTTGCTAGCAAATTTTAAAAAATTTGTTTTTCAAGTAGTGGTGTTGGTTTCGCCAAATTTTTCGATTAAATTAAGCCAAATTATTCGGTTAATCGAAACCGAGCCGAATAACCTAACCGAAACTTTCGATTAACCGAAAACGAACATAAAAACCGAACCGAACAATCCAAATCCCCTGCTATGCCAAATACCTCACCAACTTCATGATATCCTTTGATCCCCGAATTTCTTCGAATTATCCTTAATCCCACCAGATCCCTAGATATCAAATCACCGATATGCCATTATAACTATTGATACATCGAAATCCCCAAATGTCACTCCAAATCTCCATTAATTCATGCGAATTTTAAATAATACCATATTTACTTTCTTTTTTAGCACCGCAGGCGAAAATTTTGAGAATTTGTGTGTACAAGGAGCTAGATTTCTTCGTTTTCTGGCGCCGCAGGCGAAAATTTTGGAATTTTGAAAGGCCAACCGGTGAAAATATTGCAAGGCCAACCCATATTTTTTTAAAAAACTAATCGTTAGGGGTGTAAAAAAGTTCCGGTTTGGCCGGAACCGATTTGTAAACCGGAGCCGGAACCGGAACCGGAACCAATTTGAGTTCCGGTTCCCGGAACCGGAACCGGAACCAAAAAAACACCGGAACTTTCCGGAACCGGAACCGGAACCGGAACTTCCGGTGAAACTCTAATACATACATATGTATATGGGTAAAATTAAAAAGTTATAAGGAAGATGAATTGATAATAAGCGATAATACACTACATATGTTAAGAATTGATTAGTAAAGGCGTTGATCATAAAAGGAGAACTAAAATTTTCCAATACTTTTATCAGTAATATTATAAATATAAACATATGTATGCATTCATAATATTCTTGATATTTACTATTAATATGATTAATTAACGCGATATTCACAAAAATAACTATTGCCCTTGTGTTGTAAACAATCACCCAAAATCCGTGGCCAACATGAAAAACTCCTGCTCGAGTGATGGTACCAACGCTTTTAAATGCTGGTTAAATTCCATTAAAATCTTAGGATTTACACCATTGTTTTTCTCTTTTCTTCTTCATTCTTCAATAGGAATAAATAAAAATAAAAATTTTGGCAGCAATAGTACCTTCCTTTATTTTAATCTTCCAAGTTTTTTTACATATTTATTAATGTTTTAATTTTTGAGAAGATTATGAATATTAATAATATTTATGTGTTAAATTATGTGATCATATAATTCACATAATTTTAATATTTTTTTCTTAGAGGACAAAAATATTTTTAAATACCTACATAATTCATTAATTATTCACGTGTTTTCCCCAAAAAAATTTTTTTTATCAATTTTTCTATCACAAAATTTTCAGGTGAACACTTTAATGATATTCACATAATTTTAATATTTTTTAATAAATAAATTTTCTTTCCCCTCCCCTCCCCCCCCCCCCCATTTAATACTTTTTCCAAACAAAAAAATATAATTTATTTTAAATACCGATTTCCTTCATTCTTCATTTCTGCACTCCTTTTTGATAAAAAATTTTTATTTTTTTTTCGCAAAAATTTAATTTTTTTAGAGACAAATTAATTTAATTTAATGATAAAACCAGTTCGATTTACAAAAGTTTTTTTTTTAATTTTTGGCTGGCACGTAATGGTGCGATAATAAAAACTACTAAAACTCGTGCACTCATTTAAGACAAATGAATTTATGTTTAATAAAATTATTTTCAGTTTAATATTTTTATTTTTTTTAATTTTCTAAAAAAGAATTTTTTTCAATGTAAACTTCACATAATTATTTTAGAAAAAAATTTAGAGACCTTTTATTAGGTTATTTGTTTAGATATTTATATCATTAATCTGTTCAGTATTAAAAATACATCAAAATTGTCGAAAATATTGGACAGTTTTTTTTGCAAATTTCAGCTTTTTAAATACAAAAAACCCTCTTTTTCCTCACTTTCTTTTAATTTTGGTTTAATAATTTTCAACACTATCAATTTTTTATTTCGTTCATTTTATTTTTTTCCAAAAGTTTTATTAAAAGAATATACTGAAATTTCTAGAACGAAGCTCAAACCTAATGAAATTAGACAAATAGCTACCTATATAGCAGTTACCATATTTAAGCAAATAATGATACTGTGTGATACGTACCAGAGGTGGCGCGAATGCCATAAAATACGAGACACGAGATTCACGAGATACGAGACGAGAGCCACCCCTGATACGTACACCACAATTTTTATCAAGTCTTAGTAAAGTTCTATGTCCAGTTTCTTTGTTTTATTAATTTTCAAATTAAAATGTTTTGTCAAACCAAAATATTTTTTTGTACTTTTTCTCAATTTTCTTTAAAATAATAAAAATTGTTTTTACCATAATTTACCATTAATTTTTTGCTTCTTATCAGTTTATTTTTTATTACAATTATTGTTCTATTTATTTTACTTTTAATCAAAAATATTTTTATTTATTTATTACTATTTTTCTTATCAAAGAAAGCAATTAAAAGGCCTCTAAATAATTTTTTTGGCGGTTACCAATAAAAGTAAAAATAAAATAATATTTTTTTGGGAAATTTTCTTTTCTTAACAGAAAAAAAGATAAAAATAAATTGAATAAATAAATATATACAATCAAATATTTTTTGGTATATAATTATCAACAACAAGATTACTATAGGACTTAACTGCTCGGAGTAGTAATAATAATAATCTGCAATTAGGTAATTTAAATCTGCAATCCAGACAAGACTATAATAGGTATATTTATCTGCTGATGGTAGTAAAGCTAGACCAAATTTTTATATTAACGCGGTTATCACTAACTTATTTATACACCAAATACGGAGACAAACTAGCCCGTTATAGCGCTAACAAGGGAGTCTAAATCTGCAATCCAGCCCTTGATCGCAAAATACAAAAATGAGAATAATAAGTAAGCTACTGATTTAGTTGCAGACGACAGCCATTTCCTTAGTCTTAATCAGACTTATTTTGGCATAAGTTTATTTTTTCTCATATTTTTAAATTTCTAATTTTACATTTTATCACCAAATTCCCTCTAGTTTTTAAGAAAAATTAATAAAAAATAAACTAATTTATTATTCTCTAAATTAGAAATAAATAAAATATTTCTTTTAGATAATTATCACGTTTAAAAATAATAATTTGTAAAAAATGAAGTTTATACTTTTTAAATTATTATTTTATAACATACATTTTTACTTCCTTTTTACAAAAATTTATAGTAATGTCTAAGGCTGTGATTTATAGGCAAATGCCTATTTTTTCTGCAAGCTTGGGATGATGTAATACGTTCAAAAAACGTGTTTTTAGCTTGGTCCGAAGAGTCTAGCGTGACTTTTAATTTGCCTATTTCTGCCTATTTTGGACTTTTTGTGCCTTCTTGCCTATTTTGAAATTTTTGGTACTATTTTTGCCTTTTTTAGCGATTTTTCCTAAATTTTGCCTAAAAACCGGTGAAAAATCTAAAAAAATCAGTCCCAGATTTAAAAAAATCAGTGCCGACTCCAATTTTTAATTTATAGTTAGACGAATTGATTATTTTTACTCTGATGGACATTTTGAGATTAGGCGTTTTGGTAGTGGGACATTTTGGGTTTGGACGTTTTGTCGGTTGGGCGAGATTTCCCTTTTGTCATTTATCAATATTTTTAAAAATTTACTCATTTTTTGAAAAAATGAGGCAAAATTCCAAATAAATTGCAAAATGGTTTAATAAAATAGTTTATCATTCAAAAAATGACGAATAAATGGGTATTTTTTAATTTTAAAGGTCTGTTAGCTCATTTTTCCTGCCTATTTTTGTGCCTTTTTTGGCTTTTTGGTGCCTATTTTAGGCGCCTATTTCACTGATTTTACATGCCTAACTATCACAGCCTTAGTAATGTCATATATATTTTTTAGAAAAAAGTATAGTTTAGACTTTTTAATTAATTTTATTTTCTTTTATTTTCTTGGCATTAATCGGTTGTTACTTTTCTAAAACAATTTACCTATTATATTTATTTATTATAATAACGAATAATGGGTAGTAAGGTTGGCGGATCAAGAATCCGGATCCGAAAAAGGCCGGATATCTGGAAATTTTCGGTTCGGATATCGGATCCGGATATCCGAAGATTTTCAACTATCCGCCAACCTTAATGGGTAGGGCAATGGGGGAGGAGGAAGATTGTTTAGTGAGGATTTGATATAAGTAGCTTTAACTTTATATC